CGCTGCAGCGCGCTTCTTCCTGCTGCCGGGGTGCCGCCCTCGCCCCCGCTGGCGGGCGGCGGCGGCGGCGGCGCTGCGGTTCCTCGGGGCCGGCCGCGGAGCACCCGATCGCACGGCGAAGCCGGCTCCCTCCGCGGCGCCGCGGGACTGGGCCGAGCGCTGCGGCAGCGAGCAGCGCACGCGGCTGCTGGAGAGCGGGCGGCCCCGCCCTCGCTCGTCTGCCGAGGGGCGGGGGCGGGGGCGAGGCAAGGTCCCTGCCCCGAGGGGGCGGCCCAGCCCGTCGCTCCCGAAGCAACCGCCTGCGGCCCGTGCCGGTTCGGTGCAAGGCGCGGGCAGGGCCTGTCGCTCCACGGCCACGGGCCCGCGTCCGGCCTGCTGCTGCTGGTGCGGGGCCAAGCCGCTCCCCTCCTGGGGACACCGCGAGCGGGGCAGGGCAGGTGTCCCGCGGGCCTTGCCACCCATCTGCCCCCGCGACTGGCGCGCTGAAAGGGCCCTTTGCAAAGAGTGGGTGGCCCATGGCTCTGCAGTAGAGCCCAGGCAGATGCTTGGCACCCTGAAGGTGAACCACGTTCTTGTTTAAACCAAGGAAGGAAGCCCCCCACCCCGCCGTGCTCATCCCGCTCCAGCTGCTAAAGCGTAAGCATCGTCCAGAGCCCTGAAGCGGGCTGGTGGCCCAGCAAGGCTAGCCCCCTCCCCACATCCCCTCCCACAAGTGCCCTGGGGCACAAGGACAGCCGCCCTCCTCAGTCAGGTCGACCCCTCCACAAAGCGTTGGGGCAAGACAACGCAAGCCCTGTTTTGTGCTCTCAGCTGGCTTGGGCGTCCTAGTCCGAGGTCCACACAGGAGGAAGGATGCGAAGGCACAAGAAAGCTGAGCTTCTGGGCCACCCTTGACTTCTTCAGCAACCAGAAAAGCTGGTCCTCAGTCTGGCTGGAAGAGGAGAGAGAAATCACGTCTTAGCCCAAGGAAACCCCAGACTTGGCTCTGGTAAAGCATCAAGACACCATCTGTTCAAAGCAGCAGGAAGCTCTCTGGTACAGAGCGTCCCAGAGGGTGGAGGCGGCTCTGGCCCAGCACACAACTGAGCTGTCTGCGTGAAGCTGGGCTGGAAAATAGAAGTTCTTTAGAAGACCAGAGAATTTCAGCTTGGGAAGGAATTTCACTCCCCAAAGTGAGAAGCAGCAGCCAAGAGAGCAGCCCTTGAGACAAGCAGCAGGGGAATAAAAACCCACGTGCAGCGTTCATGTAGGAGAGGCCAGAACTGGTGGTTGGGAACAAGCACCGGCTGAGTGGAACCTCCCTCTCCTCGGACAGTCTCTCTGCAAGGACAGGCGTGTGAGGGAACGAGGGAGTTCTAGCTTGCCTGCCCCCAGAGACCTGTGGCTTCCCAAGGGAGGCCTGGCTAACCACTGACTGAAGCAACATGGGATCAGTCAGAGTCACCCAACAGGCCGTCCGGTCGTCGTGTGCAGATTTGGGAAGTCTCATTGCGTCCAGGTATGCATCGTCTGCGGTGTCTGTGTCTCTTCTCGCTCCCTCGGCATCTCCAGTGAGAACGTCATTAGCTCCCCAGGGCACAGACCAGCCCTTTGGGGCTTGTTTTAGTTTGCAAAACCCACATGGCAATGGTGCTCCATAAATAACACAGAGTGCTCGTCTCTTATCTTTAAAAGCAAAACCCAACTGGAAAAACTGGCCCAGTCAAGGAACTTGTGGAATTTGTGGTGGAGAGTGAAAGTGTAAAGGCAATATTAACCATGAACTTCAAAGACTCAGTAGAGAAAGATTTAACCCTAACTGTGCCCAGAAACACCAGTTTATGAAATCCAGGGTTTTGTGAACCTAGGAAGGGCCTGGGAATTAAGCATGAAAGCTGTGCAAACTTGCCGCAACAACTAGGCCATGTCCCATCATGAGAAATCAAACGGACCTTGTGAGATTAAGGCAACCAAAGTGGCTTGAACATCCCAAAGAGGTCAGCGGTTTCATGTGTTCTGCAACAGGAAGGAACCGGCTCGCTTGAGGAGAGGCGCCTCCCCTCATGATGGGCAGGGGGAAGGCCGGGTCTTTAAAAAGTACCAGGATGAACTGGGTTGGCCTCTGGTCCCAGTGCAGAGCAGGACACAAGCAGGACCCTTTCGTCCCCCAGTACTGGCTATGCTGGCAGGGCCTGATGGGGTTGGGCAAAACCAGCCCTGACCCACACTTAGCTCAGCTTCCTCTGTGCTCGCTTGGAGGGCCGCCGATTACGCAGCAAGGGCACCTATGCTGGCTGTGTCCACATCCTTGTGGAGGCCCGCCCCTTGATGAATGTGGGGGTCTCTGTGCTTCCAGCAGGGTAGTGGGGAAGGCGGCTTATCTCCCCCCTCCTCATGCATGCAGTGCCTTGGAAGAGGAGTCCAGAGAATTCGGGCATTGCCCCCCTCCACCTGCCCACTGAAGCCTTTCCACCCGGAGGGCTCATTCTAGCCTGCGGAGCAATTTTACTTGCTGTTCCGCTGAGCAGTCGCTGCCATTTTTGGAGCGATCTGTTCTGGGCCACAGTGGAACCTGCTGTGTGCCGAGGGTAGGCAAGGCTCACCTCACGGAGGACAAGTGTAGCCACTGTGCACCCCCCTCATAGCCCTCCAACAGCAAGGCAGGGGGAGCCACAGGCTGTCCCCCAATTGCAGCACAGGGGGGGCATGCCTTCCCCCAGCTTCATCGCTGCGGCACAGCCTGCAGTGTGCAAAATGCCAGGAGGGAAGAGTCGCCCGGACTTTTCATTCCCTGCGAACATCAGGGGCCTCAAGGGTGAGAAGAGCCATTTCACATGTGGGAGGCCCATTCAATATTAACGCAACAAAACGCGCCTTCCTGTGTAACCAAACCCAGCCAGAGGTACTCGAAGCCAAGGAAAGTGAGCTGGGGTGGTGGCGGCGGCCTGTTTCTGTCTCCCAGGCTGAACCGGAAGGCTGCTTTTGTCCGTCGGCCTCTCCTCTAAGAAGTGCAAGGAAAGCGAGAAAAAAGTGAGGCTGATGCAAACGGGGACTTGGATGAAAAATGGCAGATGGCTTGCTCATTGTTTGCTTTTGCTTGATGTGCTTCCACATATCCAACCGGAGAAGCTCCCATGGCGTCCGGGGTCCTGTCTGGGATCCAGGGCAATGTCTGTGTATCTGAATGAGGTGAAAGGAATCTATTGGGCTGCCATTAAAAAACCCCCAAAACTTATCAAAAAACCAATCAGCAAACAGTGTGCCTTGCTGTTAATGGAATTCCAAGACCCAGAATGCTTTCATTTTGCAATGACTTCACATGTTCCAGGGCTCATCTCTGACCTGAAAAAACACATTCCGGGAGTGGAGTTTGGCTCATGCAGAAGCCTCTGCAGAATGAAGACATTTCGTCCCCGCTCCCAGCCCACAGCAAGAAACAGGAATTGCCACGGGGATGCCACCCTTGATTTGGGATCGTCTTAAAATGAGTTGGTTCGATTCCAGCATTAGGTTGGGATTCATTCCATTCTTCCAGCCAAGCTTGGAGACCCGGTGCAGTTACGGGTTTCTGTCCTCACCACCTCCCATTGAAAACCGGTCAATTTCACTGAAGTTGTGACCAACATTCCTTCGGTTTCAAAACAGCTCAGCTGGACCAGGCTCTGGAATGGTTTTGTTCATCCCGGCCATTTCAGCACTTGCTCAGACAGAGCTTGTATGTTCCTTTGCCTCTTAGACACCTAGGGATTTCCTTGTGTGCTTGAAAGAAGAAAAAAGGATTTTCAAGGCCACAGACACAAAAGAGAGAGTTATATCTGCCTGGGACCTTGGAAGCAGAAAAAAATTCCCCCAACTTGTGCCTATCGGAGGTTGGGGAATACAATTCCCATAACCCCCAGCCACAACTTGTAATCCCTCTCCTCTGGAGAGCACCAGTTAGGGAAGGCTGCCACTGAGGATTTGTGAGGTTTTAGGCCCACTTGGGGGCGAGGAGCGTGGGGGATGTCACACCATTAAGCTAACTGGGGGAGCAGAAAGGGAATTCCTCACCTCCCAATTTGTGGGCCGCCTGTAAACTCTCATCGAGATGTCCCTGGGCAAAAACCTGAGCACATTCAAAGGAAGGGTGGAGTTTGGACGACTGAAAACTAGCCAGGGCCTTTGTGCTCTGCTCCACGGGCAAAAGCCCAAGTTTCCCGGCCAGCCTCAGATGCTGCCCTCCCTGCAGCCGGAAAGGTGCGTTCCGGAGCCACCCAGAAGCTGCAGGCTTTGCGCTACTTGACCACGCAAGGCAGGGGCAAGGGCAAGAGCAAGAGAGATGCCAGGGCAACGGGCAGGGCAGGAGCGCGCCTGCTGCCAGGACGCGGCTTCCCTACGGAGGCCCAGGCTCCAGCCTCCGCATCCCCAAGCAGCAAGTGACCCCTACTGCCACAGGCGAGACATTTCACATGCAAAGGAAACCCAGGTGCCCATACCGGCGCTTTTAACTAGAGCTAGTTTTTTAAAAAATAGTTTTTATTGTCAACAACAATCAGATAATTAATCCAAGTCACTTCTTGGACAACTAGCAGGGGAAAAAACCATAAAAGAACTTTTCTAGGGAGACTACAAGCTCGTTAAAGTTATACCTTGGACTTTTAATTCTATTTCCTCCTTGGAAGTAGTATGAAAGAAACTTAGAATTAATTCATGTGCATGTGTAAGAGGAATGAAGCTGACAGTCATCCAAGGCCGTCTCGTCTGCTGTGCAAAATGTATTATTGTGCATCAAAATGAAAGGGGGCACGTCCAGCTTGACGTAATCTGGGCAGGCGTGAGCCCCACCAACACCCAGTGCCAGCTGACCCACGGACAGATGCCGGCGCCATCCACCGGCCCGGCCCCTCCCCTGCTTTCGAAACCTTTTCTCGGGCCGCAGCAGCCTGCCTTTCTGCTCAGGGCAGAAAAGCCTTGGGAAATCTGCAGCGCTGGCGCAGCCCGGACCCCTCTCCTCCCACCAGAGGGTGGGGGCGTGAACCAAACACTGCAAAAGCTCCATTCGGGTTCACTTCTAAGAGTGTCAAAGGCGCTTGGAGACCCAGCCTTCCTACCCCCCACCCCATCCCACCCACAAAAAAGATACAAAGAGGTACCACAAAATGTTTCCACTCCATTCATTTTTCAGCTGCTTAGGCAATGAGTAAAGGGGGTGTCATTCAATAAATAACATTTGTATTTTTAATATTCCCTTTTTTAAGCAAAAGGAAAGAGGGAGGGTGTTTCACCATAAAGGAAACTAGAGCATCAGGAAATCAAAGGAAGCAAAAAAGTCAGTCAACATATACATTGAATCAGAGTCAACCTGGTATGAAAGAGTTAATTAGATTCCATTATGACATCATTAAGGCGGAAAGGCTCTGGAATTGGGGAGTCTTAGTGAAACTGGCATGTATAGAAAAACATACTCTGAAATTACCCTTTTTTTAACTTAAACTGCTTAAGTTCATTGTTTCTTCATTTTTTAAAAAAATGCTACACTCTATTTATCCTAATTGTAACAACAACAACAAGAAGAGTGATGATAATGGAGACCAGAGAGAGACCAGTAACAAATGTCAAGGCGAGATCTGAAAATCAGGTGCTGACGGAGGGAGGGGGCAGAGGGGGCACAGAGATCGGCCATGAGGTCCCACCTCGTGGAAAAAAGCTCGTGGAGGTCAGGATGCTGCAAGAGCCTTCTCGTCTGGTCTTGTCAAACTGGCAGATGGACAGGGAGAACCAGATTAAAAAGGAAACTGGGTGCTTTGTGGGTGTGGGGATGGATCCTGCACTTCCCTCTTCACTGACTATGGACACATTTCTGCATGATCCATTATGACTGCAGCTGAAGGATCCCAAAGCACCTGGCATTTCTGGGGCTGGAGAAGCCACAACAGATGTAACCAAGACTCTTCTCTGCTGGCCTCAGGAAAATATAGAGGTTGAATTTTGCACGCACACACACACACACGCAGAAATGGCTACTTTCAGCTGCTGTGTGCATTATGGATCTGTCAGCAAGCCCGACAAAGCCCCCCTCAAAGGAGTGCCTTTGCTAGTCTACTTGTTTGAGGCCGCGGAAACAGTGCTGGGTGTTCAGCTCCATCTTTCGGGAGTTGGGCTTCCAGCACCGGGAGCCGTCCTCCCGTCAAGCCGCCCCCACTCCAAGCAGGGGGCTGGCCGGAGGGAGCACCAGAATGGCCCCCCTGGAGAACAGAAGCAGCTCTTGCCCCTGAAGAAGCCCCACGACGCAGCCTTGGCCCCCCCCGCCCCCCCGCACTGCCAGCTCAGCCCACCAGAACATACCCCGCTGGCCCCGTCACCGAGTAGTGAAATCCACAGAGACCCGAAACCGCTGGTGAGCTTTCCGCCACATTCCACAACAGGGCCAAGAGATGGACGGGGAGCGTCCCCCAGGCTGGTGCCCTCAGGGCGCGAGTCGCATCAGCCCAGGAGTGCAGCGTGCGTGGCTGTGGTCGGGAAGCCTGAGGGCATGTGGCCCAAAGCACCGGGCGTGCTTCGGGTGAAGGAACACTGCTTGAGAGGGCGCATCCCCTCTCAGGAGCCTGCAGAGCCCCCTTCCCACAGGATCCACTCCCCCTTGCCAAGCTCACGGCGCCCTCCTCCTCCTCCTCCTCCTCCACATGCGGCTCTAAATGCAGGAAGCCACCTGGCCAGCCAAAGGCTTCTCCGCCATCTCCATCACCCACTCGCATGGCCCGGCCATTCACAGGAAGGCAGTGCCAGGAGCATCCACGCACGGAGAGGAACGCCTGCAACGGGCGTCCGTAAGGAACATGTTTTAAGTACACTTGCATCTCGCTCGCTCCCACTCCGGCTGCGCAGGAGTGGAAAATTGCATAGTTTTAGAGACTCTGCCATGAGTCAGATCAACCTGCCCACCTGTAGTCAAATTCAGCTGCTAGTTTCCAAAAATGCATGTGTCGCAAAGGCTCCGGGGCCAACAGAGGACATGCTCAGGTGGTGTCAAAAATACCAAAATTTCCAAGGGCAAGGAGTTTTGGAGACAGATCTGGCTTTGTTTTTTTTTTTTTGGAACAAGAAAAATATAGCATTGTTAGCTTCGGCTTTACATCCCATCCCTGGTAGCACAAATGTAGCCCTGTTAAAAATATATAATATCTGTATTCTTTAGTATTCACGCGCCATTCCCATGGTCGGAGTATTGGCTCGACAAAAGGGAGCCAGATTATTTCTACTCAGCAGAACAGAGGTAGTCTAGAAAATAAAAAAATAGCTTGCGCAGAAGGAAGTTACTTTCTGCAGGTAAGAGAGTATCATACGGATCTTTCTACTGACGTTCTCAAGAGCAGCAGCAGCAGCAGAACTGCAGGGCTCTTTCCAGCAACGCCAGGAACCCCCTTGTTTTCCTCGCACCCCATTTTCAACATTGCCTGCAGCAAGTTTATTGCTTTTATCAAAGCCACACCGATTTCCAGATTTTTACTAAGTGGGTCTGACTAGAAGAACAAGTTCATCTCTTGCTCAGTAAATGCTGTACTCTGGCACATGTGCAGAGTGTCGGGACTCGGATGATTCCTTGCCCCCCCCCATAAACTCTGTGCAAGAGTTTTTAAAAATACTTGTTTCAGAAGATGACGTCCTGCTCAGCTCATCCAAAAAGGCTAAAGTCCAGCCATGGCTGGGCACACGTGGAAGGGCCGAGCACTGTGAAAAGAGGCAGCGGGGGGTGGGGGGGGGGTTGGAGGCAGCAGCAGCAGCAGCCCAGGAAAGCACCCCCACACTCGGCCCAAACCCCCTTTCGGACTTGGAAGTCCATCATTCTGGCCAATGTGGGATGGAAAGAGACGGAAGGTGTTTTAAAAATGAAACAAAAACACAGAACTGTTAATATCAATTAATAAAAAGAGACCCATATTTTCAAATATTTTAAAGGGGGGAGCCAGGGATGGTGGTGTTAATCCCTCCGAAAGGAAGAAGAAAGTTAATGCTGGGGAGAACTGGACGGGAAGCGAGGCCCCCCCCCCCCCCCCCGTCCCACTGCTGGTCATTTCTGTGCTTGTCCTACCCTTGGAATTCAAAGCTTTGGTCTGGATTTGCTTGGTTTGACAACTTCAGTCCTGCACGAAAACTCTCCCCAACCCGCCCCCAGTGCCCTGCCCGCCGCGTGGCATCCCCGGCAGCCGCGGGCCTCCTCGTCGCGCCCTGGGAGCCAGAACCTGGCCGCTCTCCTCCTGCCGGAGGCGGGGAAGGGGACTGGGGTGGGGCGGAGGAGAGAATTATTGCGCTCCCCACTCCCCGCGGGCCCAGGCACCAGGAGCAGCACCCAGCTGCTCAGAACCGATGCGTCAAGGCCTCCCGCTCCCTGCGCTTCAGTTCCTCTTTGTAACAGCAGGAGCAGAAATCCCCCGTCTCTGGATGCCCGTAAAAACTGCAGTTCGGCTGCCTGCATTTGGTCTGCTGCACCCCGTACAGCAGCCGCGTTCTGCTCCGGTCGCCGTGGGCCCCCTTGGGAGAGCCGCCACCGGGCTCCGCGTACTCCCGGTAGCCGTTGTTATGCAGAGCCGGGCAGGCCGGGCCGTCGCAGTCCACCCCCGGGTAGCTCGGCAGCAGGTCCACTTCCGCCGGGGAGAAGCGGCCCCCCGGGTGCGGGGGGCTCGCCTGGTAGGGGTGGGGCCGGCCCTGGGGACAGTGCCTGGGCAGCGTGGCGTAGGAGGGGAGGGGGGCGCAGGGCCCTCCGGCCAGCTGCCGCCGGCTGTCTTGGTAGCTGGGGGGGTGGCCGCTCTCCACGCTGCTCATCATGGAGGGGCGGGGAATGGTGAAGACGGCCGTGTAGCTGGACGGCAGCCCGGCCACCTTCGTTCCCACCACAGCCGGCTCGGGGCTCGGGAGGCCGTACGGCGGGAGCCCGGGTGGGTAGGTGGGGCTCAGCAGGCCCTCCTCCCCCTTGAGGGGGCTGCCCTCCGAGACCAGCCTCTTGGCCGCCCCGCCGTTTCCCAGCGCCACCGCCGCCGCCGCCGCCGCCTTCTCCGCCTCCTTCTGCCTCTGCTCGGCGGAGAAGCGCTCCTCGGCATCCGCGAGGTACCGCTGGATCATCTCCTCTTGGTACTGGTGCCGGTGGCTGGTCTTGAGCTGGCCGGCGAAGATGAACTTGCGCTCCCCCTGCATGGCGGCCCGCAGGATGTTCAGGCTCAGCTTGACGTCGCTGCCGTACCTGCAGCCCTCCGGCAGCCTCTCCGACGCGGCCTTCCCGGGGCACAGCTTCTCGGCCTGAGCTGCCGGGTCCCCGGAGGGCGCCCCCTCCTTGCTGCCCTTCCGGACCTTGATGGACCCCTTCTTTTTCTTCTTCTCCAGCGTCTCCCCCTGCCCATTGCTCAGCCCCCCCTTGGCCATCCGGCTGTGCATCAGGCCCCCCATGTTCTTCTTCAGCTTGCTCCCCAGGGTCTTGCCGAAGCTGCCCAGCTTGTTGGCCACCGAGTCCGCCCGCTTCTTGTCCTTGTCCTTCTCCCGCTCCTTCTTTGGCTTCTCTTTCTCCTTGTCTTTGCTGCCGCTCTTGCTGCCGCCGCTGTTGCTCGCCGAACTGCTGCAAACCGATTCCTTGTCCGAATCCCCGGAATCGGCGGCCGACCGGACTTCATCCCCTGCAGAGGCTGTGGGCGATTCTGGCTGTGCGAGGGGTGCCTGGGGAAAGGGGGAAGACGCAGACGCGCGAGGAGGTGAGCCCTGCTTTGCCAAGAGGCTCAAACGCCCCTGCATGGAAAGGCCTAACACGGGGCAAGGGGGTGGGGGGGCAGACACGGAGCGGGGGGCCGGGAAGTCCGCGTAACGCGGGGGGAGGAGTCTGTTCTCCGTTTCTTGGACAATGCCGCCATTCAGGGCCGCCCGAGCAAACAGACCAGCCGCCACCTCTGAGGGCAGCCGGCGGGGGAAAGGGGGCAGCCCCAGCTCTCGGCGGGAAAGGGTCACGGTCCTGCGGGCTGGGGCACGAGTGTCTCGCCGCCGCCCTAGCCCTTTCCCATGGGAGCCGCGGCAGGAGCGGAACGAGGAGCTGCCGTGCGCGTCCCCACAGAAAGCGGAGCCGACGGAAGGGCCCGGGCTTTGTAGACGGCGCTGTGTGGGATCGCCCCACGGAGCCCCTGACGCGATGAGCCGGGTCCGCACACTCTGCCCGCTCCCGCCCCGCAGGCTTCCCTCCGCCTTGTGGGCCGATGAGGTGCTGGGGACCCCGCGCCTTTCCGAGGGCGGCTGCGTTACCTGCGTGTCGCAAGGCAGCGGGATCCACTTCACGGTCATGTAGCTGTGCAGCAAGTGCAGCTTGGCTTCCAGGGACAGCGTCACGCTAAAGAGACAAGGCGCACCTTGAGGCGAGGCGAGGCGAGGCGAGGCGAGGCGAGGCGAGGCGAGGCGAGGCCGAGGAATCCCGCTGGGCCACAGCCCTGCTCCCTGCTCCCAAACAGCGCCCAGAAACACAGAAGCCGGCCGGATCCTGCAGAAGGCCTGGCGCGTCCCCGCTGAGGGGCCGCGGCACTGCAGGGCCCTCCTCCTCGCCTCAGGCCCAGGAGGAAGCCCGCCTCCTTCCCCAGCAGCACCTCTCCCCTTCTTGTGCCCCCGGAAGCCATCTACGCCACTCCCACCCCCTCCTTCCACCGAGTCCCCTGGGCCCCTGGAGGCAGGCAGGCAGGCGTGGGCCTCTCCTCCTGGCCGCAAGAGCCGCTTCTCGCAGGACCGACTGCCTCCCCTCGAGGCTGGAGCACCCAGGGCCTGGCGGGCACGGCCCGTGCCTCCCTCCCTCCGCTCACCTGGCCAGCCTGACGTTGTCGCTGTCGTCCTTGCCCCACTCCCAGTCCTGCCCGGGGTCCACGGCAAAGTGCACGGGAAGCAGCTTGTGCTCCGAGTCGGTCAGCGGGATCACGGCTGCGGCAGAAGGAGCAGCAATGCCCTCAGTGACATTGTCCAGGAAGGAAAGCGGCGGCAGGGCAGGCGGCGCGGGGCAGATCAGTGGGGCGCGGGGCAGAGGCTGGGCCCTGGGCGGGCAGAAGGCCGGGCCGGGCAGCTCCTGGACTCCATCAGGCAGGGCTGCCTCGCGAGAGGGAGAAGCGGCTTGCCAGGCCCCCCCCCCACCCCCCCGCCCATTCAACACACACCTTGCTCCTTGCTGGGATCCTTCTGCTCCATGGACACCAGGGCAGAGAAGTGGGCTTGGTCATAGGCCAGGACCAGTGGGGAGCGGTGGCACTTGCTCGCAGGGACCTCCAGGGGCAGATAAATGCCCCCAAAGGGGATGGGAGCAAAAGCTGCAAGGGAGGCGAGAGAGAGAGCCCCGTCAGGAAATCGCGTGCCGGGGCCGTGGCAGAGACACCTGCCCGAGGCAGCCTCCCAGGAGCCCGAGCGTCCTCCTCTGCAGCAGAACCTGCCTGGCCAGGACTGCCGGTGCCCCCCTCCCTTGGCAGAGACCCCGCCGGAGCCGTTCCCTCCCTGACCCGCCCACGGAAGACCCCTGAGCGGCACCTGCTCCAGCCTGCGGGAGCCGCGGGCGCAGGACAGCGCCTGACGCGGGGTCGAGGGGGCCTTTCTCCCCTCACGCCCGTCGCTGAAGACCCGAGTGGCCTTGAGCTCAGGGCTGACCCACAGAATGAAGGCGTCGCTTGCTGCAGCTGGGGAAATGCCCGCGTGCCCCAGCGTCCCCCTGCGCTGGCTCCCGGGCTCCCTCGGAGCCGCCCGCCCGGGTTCTGCCCGACGGGTCCCGGCAGCCCTGAGGCGCCCTTTGCCTGGGGCTGGGGTCCAGTGTGGCACAGCTGCGTGTGCCCCACGCCCGGGCACCAGGGCGCTGGCCTCCCGCGTCACAGCACCTGCGACAAGCATCACACGGAAGCCAGAGCCCCGCCGGCCGAGCGAGGCCGCGAGCAGAGGGAGGGAGGCACGGCCCTCCGCCTCGGCAGCGGCTGGGGGAGCGACGCCGCTTGCTTGTGGGTCAGCCCTGCCCTAGCCTGGCCCTGCTTTGAGAGGGCGAGTGGACGCAGGCCCCGGCAGCCGCGCCACGTACCTTCCCCTCCGGAGTCCCGGAGCATGGTGTCCGCCACAACCACAACGGGCCTCCTCAGCACGTGGGCGAGGACGAAAACGTGGAACTCCTCCAGGCTCTCGTAGACGGGTTCCTCGGAGCCTTCAGTTCTGGGGGGGCAAAGAATGGGTGCCCCCGGTGAGCACTCGGGTGCTGGCAAGGCCTGCTTCGGCTTGGCGAGGAGGCAGGGCACGGGAGGCGGGAACCGGGAAGGGATCGCCCCGAAACCTGCTGCGCCTGCGGGGTGCAGGTCTGCGGGAAGCAACGAGGCCTGGCCAGCAGCCGGCTGCCTGGGCGCCTGCGGAAGACTCGTCCTTTCAACGAGCCCCGCTGGCTGACCGGGCGGGGTCTGACTGGGGCCACTGGACTGTCCAAAGGTTGCAGATCTGCATTCTGAGCCTTCCTCCCACTCCTTCCATCTTGTGAGGAATCCCGAGGGCACCCGGAGCTCGCAAAGCCGCGGGACCTTACCCTCCGCAGCTCCCGCTGTTGGTGCCGAGGTGCATCCGGGGCTCGCTCGAAGCCAGCTTGAGCAGTTCGTGCCACTCTTTCTGCCACTCCTCCTCCGTGTAAACCAGGCCAGACTGAGACGTCGGCAGGGACAGCAAGGGGGGGGAGAGGGGGGGTTAGTAGTTAGTTCCAGCTTCCTCCCTGGCTGTGAAGCCACTTCACGCGGGCCACCAGGGGCTCCTCCGGGGCCCACTTGCCCGGCTCCCTTAACAATCTGGCAGGAGCCAGCACTGAAATGAAGTGAAGTGAAGTGAAGTGTGACTTGAATTTGGGCCCCGCCACATCCCAGGGCTGAGCGCTGGCCTGGGAAAGGAGCGCGGTCCCCTTGGCGCAGCGTTTTCCCTCATTCCAAAAGACTGAAGGCCCCCCCAAGCGTTCGTTCCGGGCAGGAGGAGCCGGAAGCTCAGCCAGGCCGCTATTTTGGGCCCCGAGACCTGCTCCCTCCGGCGAAAAGACATTCTGCGCCCCTGCTCGCTTGCTCTGGGGGATGCTCCCGCCGCAACAGCCGGCAGCCCCCCCCCCCCTCCCCGCAGCCTCACCTCCTTGTTCTGCTGAGTCTGGTGCCACCTCCAGCGGCGCTTCAGGGCTTCCCGTTCCACACCTTTGTCCATGAGCGTGTAAAGGGACTTGCGCAGCATCAGATCCCGGTCGTGGAAACCCCACATACCTCGGGTGCAAAGGGGGATGAGGCAGAGGTCCGGGGAGGAGAGGAATCTTTTAAGCACACTTTTACATGCTTCGTATGATTTTTCTTCTTCTATAATAATTAACGCGTCTCAAAGGATAAAACACACAGCACTGGAAATGCAAACTGCGAGGATCAGCCCGTGCGGAGCTCTCCACCAGGATCTAACGTGTTCTCGATCAAGTGACCGTCTTTCCGCATTACCCAGTAGTGGAAGCTCTCCGGGCAATTGCTGTCAAATGTCACCTCCCTAAACCCAGGGCAGGATAATGCCTGCAGGCCGGGGTGGCCCCAGCCACGCCAGATCCCAGCCTCACAGCAACTGTGGCTGGGGAGGAGCCATGGCTCCCCGGTGGAGTGCCTGCCTGGCGCACGGATGGCCCCAGGTTTGATCCCGGGATCTCCACACAGAGCCGGGAAGATTCCCTCTGAAACCTCGCAGAACGATAGCCACCCGTTGCTGTCGGCTCTACCGGGACCCCAACCCTTCCAGGATTTGGAGGGAATGTTAAGAGGAGGGCTGGCAGGGGCTCTGTCCGTAGGATCTCAGTCACAAAGAGCCCTAACAATGCGGAAGGGAAGACTGCGTTCCCGGTTTCAGTTTAACACCTGCATAAACCCGCACTGAGAGTGTTTACACCAGTATTTGGAAACAAAAGCAGATAAAATACCCACGTTTATCTCACTCAAAGGCAACTGCACATGTCTCCCCCTCTCTACATCATACTGGACCACCTCATTATGAAGGTTATTTTTGTCCTGTCCATCCATCTGACCATCTCCTGACTTTCAGCACTGGTCCACTGTGTGCTGCTATGGGATGGCTTTCCCCAGTAGCCAACCTACCGTCCATTCTCCTAATAAATGCGCAAAACGACGGGCCAGCCTCAGGCCCCAGCGCAAAGGGGCGGGCAGGGCAGGGCAGGGCAGGCTGGCGGAGGCACGTGCCAGGTCACCCAGAGCCCGGCCGGCACGCTCGCCACGACACAGCACAGGCTCTGCAGGCGGCCTATTTCAGGCTGCGGGGAGAGGTGGCTGGTGCTGCTCTGCTCGTTCCAGGAAAGAGCAACGTCAGGCACCTGCTGAGCAGAGAGGGCCCGCTTCCTGACGCGTCGACGGGACGGGCAGAGGTGGCGCACGGTGGCACAAAGCAAACCTCTTTTGCTGTGGGAGGACTTACCTAGAGACGCAGCATGAAGGAGGCAGTTCCCGTCACCCGTCGTCGCCAAGGGGAGCAGCCGCTGGCAGCTGGGATCCACGTTGGCCCACCAGTTGAGGCGACCTGTGTGGGACCAAGGAGCGCTCTGTGCTGCGCAGGCAAGGCAGCCCGTGCGCAGACCCCGCGATGCCCCCGATGTTGCCCGCGTGGCAGGCAGGCAGGGGCTCGTGGGCAGCGGGCCGGAGCCAGCTCAGGCGGGTCCCCAGCCCGACGCAGTGGCTTCTGGAGAGGAGCTGCCAGAGCTGATGAGCCAGCGAGGAAGGGAGGGGCCATGAAGAGCCGGCTGACTTTAGGCAATCAAAGCACACTGGCAAAGAGCCTACGAAAAGGGTGCAGCAGGAAAGAGCCACTGGGAAGCCAACTCGAGACTTCTCCGGGTCCTGGCAGCCAGCAGGTTCGGGGCTCGCGGCTTCAAAGGGAGGAAGGGGCTGCCAAATGGCTCACTGGGCTAATGGAACTGCTGCCCTTGAGGCCGGGCAAAGACCCCCGAGTCGTCTCGGCAAGGTTGGGCAGAAGCCGCAGGCCACCAACTCGGACGCGATCAGCGCCCGTCAGAACTACCCCAAGTGCAAGTCCGGCACTTCTCATCTTAGACCTCAGCATAAAGAAAAGCAGGATCCAGCAGGGCTTGGCTAGTACTTTGCAGCGGTTCTGCAATTACAACCCATCCCGGTCTCCCACAGGAGTCTGCGCACGGCTCGCTGCCTGAGCAGCCAGTCTGCTCGTGCCCCCATCCAAAGCAGGCCGCCTGGGAGTAAGTCCTGCCCTGCTCTGGGCACAGCTCCCCGGGCAGAAGCTACGAGAATTTGCCCACCCGCGGAAGAGGCTGGAGGCGAGCACAACTTTTAGTGCCTAGAAGAGAGAGCTCATTAGAGGGCAGGCAGTCCGTGGGAAATGCCACTTTCCTAGGGTTAAGCAGAGAGGCTGCCCTGCCCCATGGGCAAAAGAATTCCTGAGCACAGGGCCCCGCCAGCCCAGACCAAAGCTCGGCTCCTCGAGAGGCAGGCTGCTTCCCAGGCCAGGTAATATCTGGCAGGGCCAAGTCCCAGCCTGCCGCCGGCCTGGCAGGATGCCAGCGCGCAACCAAGGCAAAACCACATCTGAAAACCCCCAAACGGTATTTACAGCAAGAGCGCTCCAAGAAGATTGGCACCTTTCTTGTGGGTTTGTCGTCAGCTCCGCTGCCAGGGCGCATCCAAAGCCTCGCTCTCACCCGTGGGAGACCCACCCGTGCCAGGACACGCCTCCAAAGCGGGCGCTGAGCAGCCCCCCAGCCTGCCCTGCTGAGCAATGGCTGCTCCCGCCACAAGGAGGACACGCTCCCAAGGCACTGCTCTCCGCATGGCCTCCCAAACTACCCTGAGCACATTCCAGGGGATGGAGGAGGCAGGAGACGGGAGCTCTCACCCACATTCCACCGAACTCCGAATGCCTCAAGCTGCCTCCCCCCGGAAAGCGAGGCTCAAGTACCCCTTCCCTGGCCTTTGGGTGAACAGCAGAGGGGCCTGCGCACCCCGTTTCTGCACATGGGTGGTGCCATTCCTGATGCTACGCAGTAACGCTCGGTGCTGCTGCTTCTCCCGGGCCTGGGCAGAGGCCTTTAATCCCCAGCATCTTTCCTCAGAAAGCGCAGCCACCAGGGCCCTGCGCCGCGGCCGCTCACCGGCCTGCTCCAGGGCCACCAGCATCGACTGTTCAATGAGATCGCGCTCGATGAAGCTGCGGAACTCCTCCTGGTACACGGTCAGGTCAGGCAGCTGGAAGGTGCAGATGGGCGTCTCTAGCAGGTGCTCGCCGCCGCCGCCACCGTTGCTGGAGACGTGAGAGCGAGCCAGAGAGACGATGGTGGAGCTGGCGTGGGAAATGCCGCGGGACAGGCGCTTTTCTGGGGAGGCGAGAGAGAAGCAGGGACGCGTCTCAGGCCACGCAGCGCTTCTGCCACCTGACGGCGCGTGGAGAGGAGCTCTGGTCAGGGTGCTTCCTCACTGTGGAAGGAGCCGCAGCAGGCGCAGCTGAGGCAGGAAAGGGCAGGGGTGGCGATGGGCCCCCTTGGGGGTCTCGAGCCCCTGCCCGTTTTGGACCTCGAGTCCCTCGTCCTGGCGGCACAGGCGCGCCCTCGCAGGGCACAGGGCGCAGGCCTCTCCCGAGTCCTGAGGCACGCGCAGCTTCCCCGTGAAGCGGTCCCGCCTGCGGCAAGGCCACCTGGCAAGCCTGCCGCAATTCCCCGCCACCCCGCGTGCCTCCTCACCTTGCACAAGGTCATCCTGGCGCTGCAGGGGTGGCCGCACCGGCCGCACGGCCTCCTTCTCCACCAGCTTGAAGGCGCGCCCCTCGTTGAAGGAGTGGGGCAGGGCCCCTGCGTGGACCTGCCTCAGCTGCTCAAAGTCGCTCAGTGCAGCGTTCAGGTCCCAGTTTTTTCCTAGAGGGGCAGAAGAGAGTGGGTAACACTGCGTGGTTTTAAAAAGCACTGGCACACCAGCCTGGCATGCTTCCCCCCCCCCCCCCCCCCACCCCCCCCCCCCCCCCCCACCCCCCCCGCCCCCCCCCC